TATTTTAAGGGGGTGAGATTGTAACACTACAATTTGTATTTATTTTTTGAATAGAGATACTTAATTTATTATGTTATCATTTATCTTTTAGAAAATAGAAGCACTTTTACATCTTAGTTTTGTTAGCCATAATAAAATTCATAAGATGATATGATTGTTTGGTCCATTAATTTTTTTAGTTTTGGCTGAATATTTAAGTATTGTAGGAAAAGGAAAAAGTATATCAACATTGGGCTCATTTTGTAGCTCGCATTAAATAACGTAAACTGAGCTCGAGAAAATGTAAGTTTATATGAGTTAAGCTCAAGTTATTTCAATTCAAATAAACGTATTTAATATGAATTTTTTTAATTTCTTCATAATGTACCTTTTAAGATAATTAGCGTTAGAATATAATATTTTATTTGTAATCACATTTATCTTTATAATTTGAAAAAGATTTAATCAAATTCTATCACTTTCCTTATGGGACATGGCCGGCCGTTCCAATCCTTTTCCTACAAGTGTATTGATTACCTTACTTTTTGGCTATTAACAATTTATTTAAATACAATACAAACTCTATCATACATCACTTTTCCACGTTCACTATTTTAATTAGATGATTAGGATTTATTTAAGCATAATAATGTAATTATACTTAAAGGTTTTGGCTTTTCACAAATTCTAGATCAACCCAAATCAGCACACACGAATCTTTATTATACCACTTTCAATAGGGAACCTACCCTATTTATACTCTGCAAAGTCAGATTGTGGGCACGCATTATTTCAACCATAAGGTAATTCTCCATCCCTGTTATATAACGCAGCCAAGGACATTAGAAAAAGTTTTGGAACATTCAATCATATCTTCTTTCAAAGAATTCGTTTGATCTGTCCTTGCAATATATATATATATATATATTTTTTTTACGTAATTTATTTCATGAAATGCTAATTGACCTACGGGTCTTAATACAATGAAATGTGAGATTGGGTTTTCTCAATTGTTTGCACAGAATTGTGTTATTGCATTTGATTGATCTCC